AAATCGACGAGTAATGCGATTTCGTTGAATCAAAGGCCATTAGAGCAATGCAATTTATCGTAAACGATGCACTGATGACTTTTATAACATTTATAAGCAAGTAAACATCTTTTTCTCTTACATTAGTAAACTATGCAAATTTGCATATTAGATTAATTTTGTCTGCTATCTTTTTTCAATTTTTGTTTTCTTTAATTTCTATACATATATATTTTTATAATTGTAAATAATATTTATCTATCAAAAAGTAATTCACATGTTAAAAATGCCTCTTCATATTTATTAATATATGCACGTATGTATTTTAAAATAATGCAAGAATTAAAGTAGTTATCTTTAATAAGTTTTGCGAATAATACTTTATTATATATAACAAAAAAAGAAGCTGTCGTAACGCTAATGTAATTTGCTTTTAGAACAAAATTGTACAGAAAATAATCCACAAATTTGTTAATTAAATCGCTAATTTGTTTCTCATGCATTTTTATAATTAGTCATGTCTTATTTTGTGATTGATACAATTGATTTGTGATTGAAAATAGTAGGCGGAAATGTGAATGTGTGTTCGAGTTGAGTCATTTCACCTTGCGACGAGGCAATTTGCGCGTAAATCAACAAAAAGCTATTTATCCCTTCTTCATACCGCGACGGCAAAGAGGGAGGAAGGCAGAAGGCGGAAACAAATTTTCAATTACCACGTACAAAAGAACGGGTAATTCACAGTCTAAAATGTCTCTGCGACGCGTACACATCGCGAGCGGCGTGGCGAGTGGGCCTGAAAAGATTTCCGAATTAAATTTTGGGATTAGTATCCAGGTTTAATGCACAAGTGATAGCAGAAGACGTCCCAAGGGTGTGCTACACGCTACCTTGGTCCCTCATGGGACCATCATACACACGGCCCATCACTATGTAACGACACGACGACGTGCCGCCCTTCCTCGCTCGTAACACTTGACGCGTTTCCATTTGCTGGATGTAAACTCGTTCTCTCTTTTCCGTTCTCTCTCTTTCTCTCTCTCTCTCTCTCTCTCTCTCTCTCTCTTTCTGGAACGACGTCAATTTTCGTCCGCGCGTAAAACGGAATGCCTGGTCTTTCGAGTTACTGCTAGGGACAGACAAAAACGCGATACGTTAGGTCGTGCAAACTGCAATCCCATTATTTAAAGCCGATAGTGGACATACAACGGTACTTGCACACGATCAAAAGACTATTTGAAGTTACTTTGAAATATAGGAAATAGTTAGCAGAACAATCTAAAATTTAAAACGATTGGTCACTAGTTTATTCAATACAAAGTTAGTATGAACATGGCAAAAACTTTGGACATTTCCATTAAAAAAGAATTTATTTACATTGTTGTGGAGTTAATAATTCATGTAATTGTAATAGTAACTATATAAGTTCAAATCTCAATATATTAATATTTGTATCATGACTCAAACTTTCCCATTCTTAATACTTCCCTTTTTAGTATTTTTAGTCTTTGTCTTTAGAGAGACAAAGCATTTTTCTGTGCTACTTTTTCACATTTGGCTATGTAGAATAAAAATGTCTCGTAAACAGAATTAAAACAATGTTTTTATTTTACACAGGTATATAAATGCAAAATTCGAGAATTGGAAAAAAGTGCTAAAAAAATAAGGAATTTGTTTTTTTTCTGCATCTATGTAGATTCTCAATTCTACTGATAAAGCGTTGAAAACACACACACACACATTTATCTTCAACTGTTTCACCTTTATAGATAAGAAAAATAATTATCAATGGTGTACAGCATTGAATTAGAATATCAATTATCCGGAAAACAAAGAAGTTGAGCTCTGAGACTAGGTTTCGACATGAGCGGTCCGACGCGAAACTTAAGGCTTTAACAGCTACTAAAGCGAAAGCCTGCTTCTGTCTCGCTCTTTAGCACGGGAAACAAGCCGTGTTAGACGAAGGGGTATTTTGAGGGCCGCCATTGGCCATCCACGTTCCTTATTGTCGGTTGCCTGGTAACCGGCCTGCTACGAACACAGGTACACCCCCGATGGCAACCATCCCGCAGCCGCCGCTAACGCACACCATCAGACGCGGACGAGCGTAACCCACCACATCACACCACTGGTGGCAACCCTCTCCGCGGGTCTTTCCGCGCGTACACGCACATCCCCCGTTTGCTCTGATCGCACATCCATGTATATATTTTGGGGTTTCCCCGAGCGTGTAAAGTGTGTGTAGCATGAATATATTTAGCTAGAAAGCTACTTCTCTTTTAACATGCGAGACAACCTTCGAATTGTCGACTTTTAATGGCTGTATCTAATATCTAATGTATGAATATATCCGTAATTTGAAAATCTCGGGCGAGTTAGCGCGCGGATGTATGATTAAAAAATGTATAAATATATTAAAGGAATATTCTCTTTATTTTAAAATGACCACAAAAATAATTAAAAACGTTTCATTAAAAATTTCGAGATTATTGGCAATGCATGTTAAAATGCCTTCTTTAAGAATACTATTTCATAGAATTATTTCATAGTACATCAAAACTTATTCTAATAGCGAAACGTCACAAATGGATATTATTATCAATAAAGCTCTGAATTATTCTTAACTATTAAAAATTCTTAAAATCATAATAGCGAATATAATTTATATTAATAAGCACAAAATTGGATATATTATGATACCTTCCTAACAAGTCGGCGTAATACGATAAGAGCTTTAATGTCCAATACTGCGTTGAGAGACTGAACGAGTAATTATTTTTCGAGAGCTTGTACCCTTTGGGGAAGAAATTCTGAAGGGAGGTTGCGATACATCGAGGGTATTACGGGATTAGGTCCAGGGCGAATTAGATGATCTGGCTAACGTTCCGCGTATTAATGCATACATCAATGCATACACGTAGCTGTTCGCGTAATAGCCAACTAGATTTGATTAATCGATTCGATTGCGTACTCCTACTTAAGCGACGCGACGCGACATACCATACCTATTTAGACGTTTTCCCGTACGCACGATATCGATCACTTTCACGTCGAACACTAGCCATATGGTAACGAATATACAATTCAGAATGATATATAATAATTATAGATCTCTTCTAAATTGAATCATTTTTACGCCAAATTTCAGTAAATTAATTAATAACTTTAATGCCATTCTTCTTTTCACTTTTATTTCTTAACATATAAGAAAACACAAAATTTTTCGAAGTAAATCGTGAAAATCCTTGCTTTAGCGCGATATTACGTTTCTGATGCAAGCAGGATGATTGATTCGACGGCTTCATGTAAACGAGCGTACTTAAAAACAGGACCCGGAACAAGAAGGCAACGCGGAAAACCAGGGGAGTTTAAAGAGGCCTCTTTAAGAACGGCAAACAATGCATCGCGCGAACTATAAACGTTGCCGTACTTTGAGCTTGAAATATATATTTTTTCTTTCCTTGCCACATTCCGCCATTTTTTCTCCAATTGCTACATTTGAATGTACTCGACCACATGGGCTAATTAGATATTCTCGATTATGATAATTTAGCCAATAAATCACCATTTGTTCATTATAATAATAAGCATAGATCTCTTTCAGTCTTACTCAGCACCCGGCCAATAAGATATTTCGCAATAACATTTGCTTGCATTGGGAATACAATTTTGTATATACATATGAGCAAACATAAGTTTGCATTACTTATTATCGTAATATAAACGCAAATTGTTACAATAACTATATATGTTACGAAAGAATTTAGTAATATTCAATTTAATTCAATAATTTAAAAAAATCGTCTATACTTGGCGTGAAAACAGCGTCGAAATGTCAGCTAAGCCCGAAAATGTGTCGAAAACGGACCAATTTTCTATGTACTAATGATGACGTCAGCGAACGTTTCCGACTCCAATTAGTTGAGGGGCACGCATAATTGGAATTTAGCTCTTAATTACTAGTTAATTAGCCACTGGCAGTATCAGCGACAGCGGGAACGATAGTAACGAGAGTTACTTTTAAGGAAGAGTCCATTATGTTGCGCATAGGCAACACTCCAGGGTGTTTTTTGCTCGTTAATTCGACATTAATTTACAATTAATAATTAAATTATTTTTGGCTAGCGGTTTTATTCGCAACCGGATTTCATTTAAACAAACTTCCATGGATGTTATGCGCTCTATGTGTATCAACTTGTTGGACGGGAAAAATTGCCATTATTGCCATTGCGTAGAGGCGATAATCGTTTCAGAGAAATTTCATAGCTTGTAGATGTATTATTGTGATGTACAATTTCTTCGATAAAAATGTCCGCATAGGGAATAATTGAGAGGTCAGTTCATACAATTTGTACATTAATTATACAAGCAAAATTAAACAAACTGTTTAAAATTATTTCTTAACGTTTATTTTTAACGTTTTTATTCTTAACGTTTAATCTTCAAATTTATTTACAACAAATTTCTTTTGTTTCGAGAAAGCAATAATGTTAAACAAATAAACTTTATTTAAGAATAAAATATTGGGTTAGCATGTTTGATATTTTTATAATAGAACAAAGTGAAGCAGAAAGGAATGAATTGATGAGGAAGCAATCACGGAAATGCAAAACTCACTTTTTAGACACATACTAGATTGGTATTCTAGGTCCGAATCATTGCCAAGTCTGGTATAATAGGTAATTTGATACGTGATGTATGTGCAGCTTCAACATACAGAGCTGTATAATCATCAATTACAGATAATGCTATCAAATAATGAGCTACAAATTCAGTAAAATATTTATCTCGACACATCTTTGATTTTTGTAGCAAACAAACAATTAATTCCATCCATTAATTTAACGCGTGTTTGGCATCATAATTATGTTTTGATTTTTATCTTTCGCTAAAGAATAAAATTGCGATACGTAACAATAAATACACATATAAATATACTTTTATCTTCTTGAAGTTATGGAACAATTATAATCATAACAAACATTTATCATAGATTCATATTTGTTCTTTTGTTATTACAGGTGTTGGACACAACATAGAATCAGGGAAAGATTTCACGGTAGATGGACTCTCAGGTTTTAGTAAAAAAAAGAAGAAGAAACGTCGTCATAGGTGAGTCTCTGACAGAAACTTTAACTATGTCTTTCTTGCTTTGGGCCGCGTTATTTCACACAAAATAAAAACTATTCAATACTTTAATTATGAAAATATCTGTGTCCATCGATAGCAATTTGTAATTAGTAAACATTTTCTTCCTTTAAAAGTTTAAAAGTTCTGTTGTTTTGTATTACTACATATTGAAAGTTTCTAATTTCCTTTTTGGTTCTGCATGCAGTAATGGAATATTTGGCTATTATTCTATGTAAAATAACTTTTGTATCCAATTGAAATTCAAAACGTAAAATGAAATATTACACAAACCTTTCGCACTCTCAATTATTATGTTGTTCGATAAATGTTATTTAAAACAACTGCCTATACGATCAACATCTGAATGCAATTACAAAGTTTGCGGGAGATAATTGTACGGTGTTTAAACAAACAGAGAGCTTAACTTTTATATTTTTAACTGTATAAAAGTCTCGACGCGATTACAGAACTGAACGATACAAAACGTAATATAAGTGTATTTGAAACGTAGCAATATTTTCTTTTCTACATTAAAATTTTAATTATTTATGTAGTGTGTCATAGATACTAAGAGACAGACACTAATAATGTTATATTAAAAGGTAATGTTACAAAAGATTTATCATGTACATACTCTGTAATCATACTTTCACATAATCTTATAGATATAACTTTAATTTAAAAACACAAAATGAAAAAATTCTCTTGCTATCCGCAGAAATATTATAATTGGAATATTATATATTATTTTACGTTTAAAAAATGGAATTATATTCTAACATAAAAAACACGATTCAAATTCAGAAATAAAATCTTTGTGGAATTACATTCTGCATAATTACATTTATAGCAAGGAAACAATATTTTATTACTAAGGGCTATTGTATTATCCTCTAATTGCAATGAATAAAATTAGATGAAATAATTATTCATAAAAACATATTCTAACATTACAAATTTTAAATTAGCACTTATTTCAACGCAATTTGATATTTTGACACAATCACTGTTCAAAGATTCGAAATCAATCCCGTAGAATTCGAAAGGATTACACGGCAGTCTTTGAACGAGCACAAAACTGAAGCAAAATTGTCGGTGATTTTCGCGTGTCCGCTTAACGAGCGGATGATCGTCCGGGAAATGACTTTCAATTTCGAAGCTTTCGTTCGGCCCACAAAGGCAGATGCCAGCTCGTTCTCCGCGCAACCTACAATTTGTCGAATCGCAAGACTAATTGGACATCTTGCCGTCAAATTCGCTTCTCCAGTTTCTGTCGTATCACGCGCATACGCGCCTTCTGGCTGGACACTCGTCTACCATCGACTGTCTATCGCGCGTTGCAGAGTTATACATCTTGCTTATGAAAAAGAAGAAGGAACGAAGTAATCATTGGTTACTGACGCGTCCGCCTCGTCTCTCGTTTCTACATTGTATGTGTATCTGCATCGACAAAACGCGTGCCCGTTTGCAACTAATTGTAAGCTAATGACGGAATATATTATAGATACTTGCGGTCATTTAGGAAAATAGACTTGGCGACTGCTACATGCTGATGCGAAATGTTCATGTTAACAAGAATGAGAGTAGCTTCGAAGTATTGTCGAGAGATAAGATCGAGACGATTAAATTAAATTAATATTTCTATCGTTGCCAACGCAAAACTAAATGTATTCTGTCATTTTTATATAAATATTAATATTGTTATTTTATATGTTCAGATAATATAATAATGCTCTTCCTCTTTGCATATATAAATTTCTTTTTTGATTTTTTGCTCACAAATGTTTGAGTTATGAACATAATCTCGCAATTATTTGTTTCTCTTCTTCTTCTATTTACTATATTTATGTAATATATCTATCAAGTACCTATACAATATTTACAGATCTATTAATTAATATTTATTAATATTCAATACTTGATGCATGCGTCCACGAGAAAATCCTATAGGCTTATGATTTGACGTTTATTAATCGTGCAATGGTAATGCTTATAAGTTTCTAGTTTGACTCATTGTCAGATTTAAGTATGTAGTGTATTTTAATCTAACGCATTTGTTGCAAAAAAACATTTGCCTATTATAAAATGTTACTTTGCTGGTCAAGTAATTAATAAAGATAATAAAGATGATACTTTTGGCTTTGATATTTATATATAAACGCCGCGAACGTGTTACTTGAATTTTCTTTCAGTCTTTCGCGAGAGACTAGGGTAGATTTAAGGTAGAAGGTCTGTAATGGCATATAACTAGGTTCATGTGGTTGTTGCTCCAGGACGATCTTCACGTCACAGCAGCTGGAGGCGCTGGAGGCAGCTTTCAAGGAAGCCCATTATCCTGACGTCTACGCCCGCGAAATGCTAAGCCTGAGGACTGATCTACCCGAAGACAGGATACAGGTAAGCGAAAATTAGAACATTTATTTCTGCGTATAAATTGCCATAATTTCATATAGCGAGATGACATTAACCTGGGCATTTTTATCGTTGAAACAATATGATAGGCAAGTAAGTTAATATTATTAAGTCAAAATTAGAACGCGCTAATATTAGAAATTGAGACTCCCGTTGCATGGAGTCTTCATTTATAGCAATAAATGTGTGTGGAGCATTTATACATAGCTATTTATGTATATGATTAATTTTCCAAAAACTGAAATAAACAGGAAACTATTCGTGCCACTATGCACTGTGCTATACCAAAAACGATTATCTATAATAAGATTTATACAGATTCTTCTTAACTATAACTTTTTTCCTTTGCGAACTATTAAGATTATCGATACGATGCGCCGATGGTTGCAAGCCTGGCAGTTGGCAGTGGCTTTGCAACAATCGGCGGCGATTTATCGTCAAGGGTAGAGCATTGCAGGGTAGAGTATGGCAGCACCAAAAGCCGCGATAAAAGAGAGAATTTTCCAAAGCTGTGCGGACGGTTAGTTATTGCATAACTATCCGGGAAGTACATAGTAGGCTGATATCGGTTTCCGCATGGCGAACCCGAAACGATGAGATTCTCTTTCTCTCTTTCTTTCTGTCTCGCTCTTTTCCCCGGTATCCCCTCTTTACATCCCCCTTTTTTTCTTGTTATACCTCTCGTGCTTCATCTCTTTCCTAGTCGTTCCTATTTTACATCGACGAATTTCTTTTTATACGCCACGAAGCAACACACACATGTGTCTAATGCAGATGTATGAGAAACGCACGCCATATCTTTCATTCAAATCGACTATTGTACAAGACTCTCCGGAACAATTTCAACAAGCAAATGACGTACGGGTCATTATATAAGTGAGGATGTCTACTGCGAGTGTTCCAGCAAAGTTCGTGATATGTGGCAAAGCACAAAATATGGCCGTCGAGCAAGCCGTCTTTTTTCAGCGTTAGTAAACAATAAGTATGCTATATACATTACTGTTAGGTCTATATTAAAGTTAAGAATGAGTTTTTAAAGGCAGCGTTTATTAAACTAATTTCTGTTTTTACTTAGACACAATGAAATGCGTTATAATATACTTGTTATAAACGATTTCTAGTTATTCGTGAGATACTTTACGTGATGATTGTTCGATTATAATTATATATTTATGGAAAAAAAATACTAAAAATTATGTGTGTGTGTGTCTGTGTTTTGGCTTTTATACCAGTCGGCTTCTATAAATTTAATACACAGTTCAATTGAAGCAAAACAAAGCAAAACATATATCGACAATAAAATATGCTTACCATTAAAAATTCAAATTCTGTCCACTATTCTTTTTTTTTATTGTTTTAACAGAGAGAAAAAGAGAGAGAGAGAGAGAGAGAGAGAGAGAGAGAGAGAGAGAGAGAGACTCTTCAAGTATCATCGCAACATCGTAATTTTCACCTATGATGCTCCGAGAGCGTGCGTGCGTGCGTGTACACACACACATTAACACGGCTTGTATCGTACGTCAGAGGTGCCTAAGTGGATTCAACTAAGAGATTCCTCACCCTGTGCTTGTACACTTCCACTACCACTAACTTATCACGCTTGTCGATTCGTATCGTAGACTAGGGGAAAGCTCGTAGTGGGAGAAAATGGCCCGCGGGCCACGACTCGGACACTTCTGTATATACATATATGTGAATGAGCGTTCTCTTCATATAGACATATACATATGCACGCAACCTGTACGCAGCAGCCAGTGATTATATTTTGATATAATTCGAGGTACGAGGGCGGCTGCCGCGAGCGGCGGGGGTGGCTGGTGAGCCAAGTAGGAGGGAGACTGAAGGGCGGGGAGGGGAATCGTGACGGTACGGGGTTGTCGAGGCTGCTTGAAGCGTGCAGGCGCGTACACACAGAGTGCCGGGGAACGACAAAGCGGCCATTACAGGATGGGTGCGGTCCCGCGGGCCAATCAGAGAGAGGAGTCAGGGACCGGACGGCCAATCAGAACGCGCTTTCCACCCGTCTTTTGTTTCTAAATTTGCGCGCGCGACGGGGACACAATATAACGAGGCGCGAGACGGAAAGAGGAGCTGATAATCGTTAACGGGGATATTTTTGCGCGGGGAGTGGCGTCTTTCTCTCTTTGTCGCTCGTTTCGTCATTCATTGCTCCTCATCTTGTGTATCGCACACATTTTGCCCTTTATTTTCAAATTTGTCCTTGTCTCTCTTTGACTGAATTAGCGAGTTATTTGGATGCCGCGTTACGTTTTCGTTGATTATCTGAATTCTGAAATTTTTGAATCTTACATGGTTATCAAAAGATTGTCGAATTTCTTGGGTATAACTTACAATTAGAGACGTACATACGTATATAATACTAAAATTCACATAACAAATATGAATAAATGCTACAGAAATGTTTAGATGTGAATAAAAAAGTGTGCTCGCTTTATCTTGTGTAATAAATAACTTTATATAAATAAGAAAGGGATGTTATTTTATAAATTGATGTTTCTATCGCGGAATACATTGCTTTCATTTGTATTGGACATTTTAAATAAAATATTGTAAAAATTTGTATGTGTTAATTGCATGTATGTATGTATAAAATATCGTAATAATGTGTTTTTTCTTTGTGCAAAATTACCTCAAAAAATGGAATGTAAACTCTTTTACATTGAGAAAACAAAATTGTTAATCTCAAGAAATATTTAGCCCGATACGTTCAACTAAACATTTTAGTTAGTTAACTAAACATTGGTTGTTTCAACAATCTATTTAGTTTCTTTAATCAAGAATTAATTAATTTAACTAATGTTTAGTTAACTAACTAAAATGTTTAGTTGAACGTATTGGACTAAATATTTCTTGGGATTATCAAATTGTTTTTCTCAGTGTATGTACCGTTTGATATTGTTACTTGAATTACAATGGCAACGTCAAGAAATGTCAAGAGATCAATAACATTGTCAAAGAATCGTACAAGAAGTCGTTCATCCCGAGGAATGTCGCACGATACCAATGATAGAGAGGAGAACTACAACTGATTTGCGAATTATCATAAATTCTCCGTGTGAATGGTAATATCCCAGCATAATTCTCAACGACTTACGACGGTGGGTGCCTACTAAACATAAACACGAGTGGGAAGTCTCGTCCGCCTGCTGAAAATTCGCGGGTCATTTGAGCCGTTTCCGCACCATTACCCTTTCTTAGCACGTCTCCTCTACGAGCAGACTGCGACTACTGCGACTCCTGTGACTCCTGCGACTCGGTCCAGGCGAAGGATTGTAAGACATTGTAGCAGAAGATCGAAAAAGTTGAGATAGAGGAAGATAAAAAGGAAGAAGTGAAAAAAGAAGATGAGAGAAGGAAAAGGGGAAGAGTTACTTGTAGCAATACAGACGTTACTCGATTCCTCGTTATATCATTCCAGGGAATTGTATCCTTCAGCAAATTTTCTTCTCTCTACTCTGCCATTCTAAATGTTAACGATACTGAAAATTCACTCATTCCATAGCGTATGATGCACGCAATGTAGTGGATATTTGAGAATATGCTAAGAAATACAAGTCTATTAGTTATTAAAGAAACCGAAATGAATGTGCGTACTTTTACAATCTTCAATCTTGTAGAAAACTATTAGAAAATTGTGATACTTTTTTCACGCTTTTATCATGACTTATATTATATTATATAAGTTATTAGTTGGGCAGTACATTTAAAATATTTAGTATAAACTCAAATTTTTATATAAAACAGAACATTACTCATTCATAAGAGTAAAATAGAATTTAATTATTACTAAATATATGTATTATTTAATTATGAAAATCGGACATTATCCTTTCAGAGGTATACAAATATTGCTAAGAGATATATACAAATATTCGTAAGCATTTTTCCAAACATAGATATTTTCTAAGGATATCGAATTGCATAAGGCTTGGAATGTTAAATAGTAATTAAACAATTTTAATTATTACTTGTAGCGCTCGCTACATATTTATACTGCCATAACAGTATATTAATTGGTTCTTCACATGCGGTTATTATACCAAGAATTGTAGCAGCATAACGAGAGAAACAGAATTCCGCCTTATTTTCGACCTTTTCGACTCCTACAAACAAATAATACAATAGCTGCAACAGCAACGAATGCATTCGGCGACAGCTGTGTACTAAAGAAAGATCTTCCTTCGATAAAACCGAATTCGAACAAGCCGCTTCCACCGTTTTACGAGTGATGTTTCTCGCGTTGCCTTCACAAGTATCAGCCCGAGCCACCATTTTGTAGATTACATCAAGTTGTTTTTTCAACACAAGAGACATGATGCGCTCGTCAGACACTCGTGACGTTAAGTTTTAACATAAGCTTTATTATGACAAAAGCTCTACAAAGTATTATTTTAACTTATTTAATATGTGCATAGAAAGTTGGAAATTCATTTTCATCTAACAATAACCGATTCTCTTTACTGCAGTTTATTCTTTTTTCTTGCGATTACTTAATATATTGCAATACTGTTATGTATATATATATATATATATATATATATATATATATATATATATATATCATAATATACTAGCATTGCAGAGATGCACATCATAACATTTTACAATACGTATATGAATGAGATTGCTTGAAAACATTAAAAATTTAAAGTTATAGTGTTGAAATATTACACAACACGCTACTTAATTTTATAATACGGACATTATAGTATATAGTAATCTCATCCAAAAAAAAAAATTAAATTTAAATAACGCAATTATCAATTTTTAATCGCGCAATTGGTAACCCACACTAAACTTTCAGATTCTTCAGTATTTTATATATAAAATATAATTATTATATTATGGTGTACCGTCAGTGATATTATACACACGCACGCAGCCTGAATGGACAGTCGAGCAAAAACGGCACGGCCGTTAACAAAATATGTGTTAATGTATATAAGTTTTATTATACTTCATAT